AAAAGGAGTTCAATAGCAAATACAAACTAGCTCCCAGTCTGCAGAAAGCCCCAAAACGGAGCAAACTCTCTGTCCCTAAACTCAGCCTCTAGGCAGAGGCCCTCAGCTCTGACAGGTTCTCCTGCCATTCAGGCTTAGTGCTGGTTGTATTTTGGACACTGTTTGTTGGGTGTTGGGGTCTGGGGTAGGCCCCTAGCTCTCTCTGCTCCCCACCCCACTCCCTTCCTCGCTGATCCCGAGATAGAAGGAGCTTTTCTACCCATACTGCCATTCTGCAGCTTCCATGACCTAAGGGCCAGCCTTGCGATGTGTAGGGCCCCAGCTGCTGAAGTTGTGGCGGAGAGGAAGAATTGGCCATGGATTGCCTCCCAATCTGATTCCACCCAGAGAAGAAACAAGCCAGCCAGTGGGCTGTGAGCTTGCGGAGAACCCCAATAAATCAGTTGTGTTCCTGGGGCTTCAGGCTAACCCAGCATGCACTGACATAGTGTGAAGGCCTCTACTTGTTAGCAGATCCCTCTGGCTGCTCAGTGGATAGAGGACTCAGCACTTGTAGGGCACTAGCCCCAGCCACAGGAGTAGGCACAGAGCACCCACTGATGTGAATGGGACTCAGCATATGGGCAGGACAATAGACCCTTCCAGGTCCGGCTCAGGTGCAAGGAATGGGAATGAACCCGAACGGCTTTGCAGCCCCAGGATGTTCAGTCTAACTCGTTGGCTGAGGTGGGATGGTGGTTCTGAGAGTGCACCATTCCAGAGCAATCAGACATTCCTAGCAGGGCAATCCTGTTCCACCGCCCTAACTTGCCCCTCCAGTTTCAAATGGATACTGGGTTCTTCCTTGCTTTTCCCACACTACTCATTCCACCACAGAAGGGTTGCATTGTGGGGTGGGGTCACATGACCCACATAGTTTAGGCTACGTCTACGCGTGGAGGTGGGGGGGTAATTCCCAGCTCCCATAGACACACCCAATGAGAGCTAGCGCACTAAAAACAGTAGTGTATCTGTGGTAGCAGAAGCAGTGGTGGTACAGGCTTGGTACCCCAGTTACATACCCATGGGGTGTGGGTGGGTTTGTACCCAGAGTGGCTAGCCCAAGCCTCCGCTCATCACTGTCTGTGCTAACGCGAGTATGTCTATGCGAACTGGGAATCACATCCTGAGCTCCTCGTGTGGCCATAGCCTGTGTTTTGTAAGATGCTTCCTAATGGAAGATGCTACAGAAACATGCAGTATTACAGGCTAACATTGCCTTCACAGTAACACTGGAACTCTTTGCAGCAAGTGGCCATTAAGACAGAATGAACATTGAATTCCTGCCTGGACCCTACTCGTCTACACTCTGTTACGGTGGATCCTGGCATGCCCCAGGGACTGGATCAGGGATACTTTCTCACCTGGGGCCAGGGGGATGTAGTGTGTACCTCCTGGTAAAGCTTGGAGTCACTCTGTGATGAATACCGTGGCCTACTGTGCTAAAGGGTGGGCTCACACCTCCTCTTTCTCCCAAATGCTTGAAATGCATCCGAGCGGGGAGTTAGATGGCGCAATACAGCCTGTTATACCACTAGGGGGCAACACAATTGATCTGACTCAAGAAGCTAATGACTACAACAGGTTGGGAACATCTTACCCCTTTCCGGCCAGGGCATCCGTTGGCCAAGCTCCTCCAGACATTCAACCCCCCCACTGTCCACCCACTTTCGGCCGCTTGGGGGACCCATTGCTTCTTCTCTGCACGCACAGGAGGAAAACAAGAGTGACTAATGGGCATTGACAGGGGCATCATTTTTTTCCCATCCAATTTGTCTTCAAGGCTGACACCAGAGAAAACCCCAAATTGCAGCTTGTGCCCTGCACAGTTTTACCACAGTATCCTGAAAAAGCATCTGGTGAGCTGATAGCAGAGGGGGGCTCCAGGCTGGAGCCCCTGCCGGAAGCCTAGGACTGGCAGCGGTTGGGGACCCAATGCTTCTGCTAGGACGTCAGACAGGAAACTTCCTGGAGGCTCTGAGAGTTCCCTGGGCTCCAGCCACTGTCACTGTAGAGAGAGGCAGGCACACAGCCCCCCTGCCTGGGGCATCAGTAGCCCATATGGCTCTGGGCCTTTCAGGCAGTGACATTCTTCACAGCATGGGTGCCATTTTGTATTAGGCCCTCAGATTAGGCCCTCAGCAGCAGAAGACATTGCAGTCACTCAAAGGCACTTGCGATGCTTTGAAACCTAAATGTCCCTTCCCCTGAGGGCATAGGAATCGGCCTGTACAAAGAGGCCTTTGAGTTTGGGTGAACTGTCACCCATGCGTTGTGATATTCCAGGCCTTGCCTAGAATCACAGGTCAGGCCAGCTGCAGAGCTGTTAGAGCCCATGGAGAATGGACACCTTAAAGGGACCTTTGAGGAAACAGATCTAATTAGAAAATGCCATTTCCCCAAGAGACCATCTGGCCGCACTGCTCCCCCAGCTCATTGACCAATACAGCAAAGCTCTAGTCAATGGGAGGTAGCTGCACGTAATGTGCAGTGAAGCTCTGCAAGAGTTCTGTACCACCCTGGCGTCAGAGCACTGAATGAGGGCACTGAATCACCCACGCAGCGGAGCTCTGTCAGATGGTGCTGCATTACTCCCATTGCAGCCCCTGGTGGGGCTGCGGCTGCGTCGTCCATGCAGCAGTGGGAGGATGAAGAAACAACAGACAAAAGAATAACCCATGAATAGCATTTGCTTTCTTGTAACACATTTCAACTGCAGCGAACCCCAGGGCTTTCCAAAGTAATGAAGAAGGTGGCAGAAGAGCAGTGCCCATGGTGGCCATTCCAGGAGTCATTCTGCACTCTATATTAGCTCTCACCCAGCCTGGGACATCACAGCCACTCCACTGAGAGAGGGGTTGCTGGCCACAAAATCTGGGCTATTCCCTGCCTGTTCTCTATTCCTTGGGGTGGCTGGCTGAAGACATCCCTCTTTAATGTCTCACCTAGAGGGCATCACCTTTATCCATGCAGCACCCCACAGTGGTGCCCTGTAGTGTTAATGTTGGGCAGGAGCTGGGACCTGAATCTGTATAATGACCCGTCTTCCTGATCCACCTCCACTCCTCCTGGATTGGAGAATGTTGTTTCATGGGGAAAGTCTTGAGCTCAGTTCCCCTGCAACAGTGACCCGATTGATACATGGGGACAGAGCTGTCACCACCTCAAACACAGCACAGCGCAGAGGGGAACATTTCCCTCGGAGTGGAAGAATTTACCAGTTGGCGAGGGTGGGGTGGTAATCCACTGGGATCAGGAGGAAATGCAGTGGCAGGTTTTTGGAGTCAGGATCAGCCTGTGGCTGTGTTTCCATACAGAGAATGGAGCCATGGCATCACAGTACTGGAAGAGGTGAGTGATCATATTGAATCTCTGAGAAGGGCTGATGCCAGGTGCTTCAGAGAAAGATATGATCCCCCTCCCCCGTTGTCTCACACACATCAAGTCCCTAAATGTACATTCCTATTCCACAAGCGGAAAATGAGACCCCTTCCATTTACCTCCCAAGCCAGCAATCAGCTGCTGATGCCCTGCAGCATGAGGGGCCAGGAGGACTCCGGTCTGGTTCACTGTCTAGGGAGTGACTGAGATCCCTGTAATAATGGACCGGTTTAGGCCATGGAATGACGGGAATCAGTGAGAGTTCAGGAGGATAAACTTCATTGCAGAAGGCAGAGCCAGCCCCTCTTGGGGATTCATACCCTCTAGGGGGAGAGCTGTTGCCCTGAGCAAAAAAGCTCTCTTCTTTCTCTTCAAGGGCAGTGGGAAATTAGGATCATTACACCTTCCTCACCTTTAACCAGTCCCTAGAGTGCATTTCCCCCCCAGGACTACATTTCCCAGCATGCACCTGCCCAACCGGGGCTCTAACCCTGCCGGGCAGTTGAGAATGACAGTGCTTTGCTAAACAGAACTTGGTACACTGCAGAGTCTAAGGCTGGGGAGTTCATGTGTGACCCCATATTCCATTTGGTGAACACCAACATCCTCTTTTCCAAATTTCACTGTGTCCAATTTGATCAATCCCCTGTCCCTCAACTGTTGGCCTCTGCACCCTAAGTGAGATCAACAAAGGGCTTTCAGCTGAGTGGAGCTCATGGCTTGAGCAGTGGAGAGATTCCCATGCTCCTTATCTGGTAGAGCTGCCATCTGTGGAGCACGGAATGGAGATCCTCGCTCTGGCATACTGTGTTCAGTGCAGCATCAGACTGGAGAGAGACTAACAAATTGGAGGGTGGGAGAACATAATTTATGAGAAAAGATGGAAAGCGCTAACTCTACATAGCTTGAGGTAGGGGGCATGATAACAGCCCAAGCATAACTGGAGAGGGCAGACCAAGGAAGGAGGGGATTTATTTAGAAGGGTGTCAGAGGAGGAAGCTAAGGAAGGGGAAATTAAGGCTGAGCGTCAGGGAAAGCACCCTGACAAAGCCCATCATCCTGTGGAAGAGGCTCTACAATGGAGGAAACTCCACTGCTGGGGACATTTAGCTCTAGACTGGAAAATCTAGGTTCATTTTAAAAGGAGCTGAAAGGACACAGATGAGCAGAACCAAAGGACTAATCACTGACCAGATGGATGCTTAAACAGGTAAATTGCAGCACAGAGCAGAGAAATTTCACTGCATCTCCTCCTCATGACCCATATTGTCACTATCACCACTTCTCCTCCACCACAGAAGAACCCAATGGAAAGTGCTACACACATGTTAGCGCTAACAAAATGCGTGCACTCTGTGAACAGAGTAGATCCCCTCAGATATGTACACAGTGGCTTACAAAAACCTTCAGCGTGCAGGGTAATAAAAAAACACCTTAGTGTATCTCAGGACATACTCGCCTCCTCCCTAACAGACTAAGTGCATCACCATAGAAACAAAGTCCTCGTCTCAAGCGGTGGCTAGTTTAGAGAAGCAAGAACAAAGGAATATGCCTTGAATTTGAGCAGAAGGTGGGGCTAGTGCTGATCCTTAGTTCCTGGGGGACTTCATTACACAGTCTTGGACTGGTCCCCAAGAAAGCTCTGTCTCCTTTACAGATGAACTTTACTCTTATTGTGGAAAGTTCCATTGTGCCAGAGGAGAGAAGTTATGGACCATGGTCCTCAATGTGGAGCTTCAGTCCATCTTTTAGATACCTTGAAGGTAAGGCTTCATGGATATGGAACAAATTTCAGCTCAAATCAGGCGCGAATCAAGGGAGAATGGGCTGTAGCAGACCTACTGCTCATAGCTAGGCATGGGAAACTATTAGTAACAAACAATTTAGCCAATGAATATAGCTTTGCTTTCTGTTTGCAAATTATTTGCAAATGGACTTTGATTTTTTTAATTCCTAATTGCTCAACAAATAGACAAACAGATGCACCATGTAAGAATTCAGATAGTCAGAAAGGGATTTCAACCTATGTGTTGTTCAGCACATTGCCGTTTGACTGTCTTGATTATTCACTCTGAGCTGTGACCAGTCCTGTTTCTGCTCCCTGATTGGATGACCCTACTTTACAAACAGGTGGCAAGCTGTTCCTTCACAGGTAAGGAATACCCTTGTCTGCATGTGAATCCAGGTATTCACGGAAAGAGCCGCCATTCCCCAGCATTTGTTTGAACAAACACAGATTGGGATGGATCTGTGGGACTAGCAAACAAAGAGGGGAATGAAGGCAGCTGAACTGAAAAGTAATTCAGAATTCCTGAAAATATTTGCCCATCGTTTCCTCCAGTGTTCACCCACCTCTCCTCACAGCTCTTGAGAAGAAAACAAGCAAACGCCTAAGAGCCTGAATTACAACACTCAGCCCCCCCAGGGCCTGGTTTGTCTGTAGCAACCACACTCCTTACATTTGTGTATCTCCTCAGGCTTAAATGCACAACACTGATTATCTCTCCACAAAAGAGCTGGCCAAAAATTTTTTTACACAAGATTTGACCAGCTGTAAGGACGGAGTGGAAAGCAGGAAAATATTTTTTGACCATTTTCACAGATGTGTTTCATAAAAAAAAAGTCAAAATTTTTCCAAACTGCTCTAATTATAGATGTAGAATTATAATAATAGATCATTGTACTTTTCGTCAGTAGATCTCACAGTGCTTTACAAAAGAGGCATCATTATCCTCATTTTACAGATGGGGAAACCGAGGCACAGAGTGGTGAAGTGACTTGACCACGGTTACCCAGCAGGTCAGTGGCAAAACTAGAACTAGACTCCAGTCATCTGAGTCCCAGTCCAGAGTGTTATCCACTAGGACACACTGTCTCTCCATAACACATAAGTGTTCTGTTATGGAATCTAAGCAGGTGCTTGGCGATTCCTAAACACAACTGCCCTTTAAAGCATTTGGTAGGGAACATTCCTGCACTGGCCATGGGAGAAGAACTCAAGGGGGCCTCAAGTCTTTTCCATCTCCAGTGTCTGTAGTTCGAAGATCTCACGAGGGTCCTGGTTTGAGTCTCGCATGCCATATTACAAGCAGACAGGCTACTCCACCAACTGGCTGTAGTGTCCAGGTGCCAGTTGGTATGTGTAATCATCTCCTTCACCCCTTTTCCCTGCCACATCTATGGATGCTGCCTGTACAAAATCTCACAGGTCTCCTTTGCAGTACATTTGGCATAGCCAGAATCGAGTCCATGAAACTTTTCAACAGACATGAAGATCAGCAATACAGTGCACTGTACAGGAATAAAAGTGATCAGTCATAGCGTCTTGGGCTGTCTATCAGTAGATATGGAGGGTTACTTGTAAGCAGGCTGGTCAGACAGCAATCACTAGCTTTATTATGTGAATGGCATCGGAAGCCTTTTCTTCTAGACAGACAGCTGTGATCCCAAAGGTCTTGGGGCACCCAACTGGAGCCAATGCCAGGAACTTGCTAGGAGCTCAAGGATGGCACCAAAATTAAAAGGAGCCTATGGCAGTCCCCTCACCTTTACCAGGAGAGAGGATGGTGGTCTTGTGAACAAAGCACAGAACTGGGACTCAGGAGCTGTCTGGTCAGTACCCTGCTCTGCCACTGACTTCCTATGTGACATTAGGCAGGTCATTTAATCTCTCTGTGCCTCAGTTTCCCAAGTGTAAAGAGCAGGTTAAAATATTTCCTTTCTCTTGCCATTCGTCTCGTCTATTTAGGTTGTTAGCACTTTGGGGAAGGGGCTGTCTGTGTGTGTGTGTGTGTACAGTATCCCGCACTATGGGGCCCAGATCTCAGCTCTGGGGGTTATTGGAATACAAATCAATAATAATAGCATGCAGGTGCAAGAGACCATAGGAAAGGTTAGCCTTTGGGTTTTAGGGAGGGCAGCAAGCTGATTCTTTGATCTCCCCCAAACTGAAAGACTCATTCCAAATGAGGGGCATACCTTCCCCTGCCCTCTGAACAATGGATGGACTTATTCCCCCTTCACGGTCACCACAGTGATGACATCTTGCTCCAGCTGTGCAATTTCACCTTCGTTTGCACCCTAATAAACGCAGTGAGACACAGCAACCACTAGATGCCCCCCTAAGGCAGTCTTTGGAGTTAAGAATAGACTGGAGCTGATGAGCCAAGTTCCCACCTCCCCCCCGCGGAGTTTACCGGGTAAAGGAAGGCTCGTGACTGAGTTGTTCCTGATTCACAGAAGCACTAGATACACTAGGGGTGACTGAGCCGGCCCAGGGAGGTGCCTGTCAGAGAACTGACCCTGGCCGGAGCCAGACAAACCTGGTTACCTTTTCTCCCCAACATTATTATTTGTTATTTTCATTTCATGGTATCATTGCTGCCTTTGCTCACCCTTAGTCTGGTCGGTACTACTGCCACAATCTGCCTCTCGTGCATGGAGCCAGACAGAAAACGAGACACGAGGCAGAAGCACAGAGAGAGAGGGTTTAAAAAAGTGTAAAAAGGGTTGAGTGTAGCCAGAGGGAAGTAATGATAATTCCTAGCTGCTATATAGCACACTTTTTATCCATAGATTTCACCGCCCTTTACAAAGGTGGTCAACTACATTATCCCCATTTTACAGATGGGGAAACTGAGGCACAGAGCCGAGACATGACTTGCCCAAGGTCACCCAGCAGGGCCAGTTAAACCTAGGTTTCCTGGGTCCCAGTCCAGTGCTCGCTCTGCTAGGTCACAGGTGCACTAGGTGCAGGGGCAAAGGGAGTCCTGCAAGGAGGAACCTACCAATAGCAGAGCGGAGGAGGAAACAGACTGAGGTTTAGGTTCTGTTGTTTTAGTTAACAAGGCAGGGCTTTAACTGGGAGCAGACCCAGTGTGTGATGTGTGAGGAACAGGGGGTAGGATGCCACCATTTTACAGAGAGATGAGCCTGAAAAGTGAACAGGATTGTGAGATGACTAAACCCTGTGCATAAGCTGGGAAGGCACTTCAGCAACCTGATGGGATAAACTAAACCCTGGGGTTGTGAGCAAGATGCAGGCTCACTTCATCTCCCAGTATGTGGGGGAGGGAGGGAGATCCTTGAATCCCCTCCCTTCAGGAGGGAGTAGACAAGGAGCAGTTCTTGATGAGGTTGCAAGCAACTCAGAGAGGGCACGGATGGCTGGAAGGGGAAGAGGTGTGAAGGAGTCCTAATCTAGGCCTAAAGTGAGGCCAGTAAGGGGGGGGGGGATTGAAAATGCCCCAAATGCATAATAAAGGGGAGGAAGCCCAGGGTGAAATGAATAGATGTCACAAGGTGGAAGCAGACAGTTCAGTAAGCAGGTGCTCAAGGACTAGCATTCTTAAACTGAGATGCCATGAATAAGACCGGGCCAATGTGTGACAGATAAGGGGGTACAAAGGAGTCCTATATACTGAAGGGAGAAACAGAAAGAGTGGAAAAGATCCCTGACTAAGGTGGAGAATGGGGAAGGAGATTGACATAGAGAAGATATGGCAGGTTACCATACATACACTCAGGTTTCAGAGGAACAGCCGTGTTAGTCTGTATTCGCAAAAAGAAAAGGAGTACTTGTGGCACCTTAGAGACTAACCAATTTATTTGAGCATGAGCTTTCGTGAGCTACAGCTCACTTGAAGTGAGCTGTAGCTCACGAAAGCTCATGCTCAAATAAATTGGTTAGTCTCTAAGGTGCCACAAGTACTCCTTTTCTTTTTGCGCATACATACACTGGAGTCACACAGATGGCAAGGGAGAATTTATGAACTGCAAGGACTGCACACCGGCCCCAGAGTAACCTAACTAAACTGCTTGCCTCATTGTTTATAAAGGCCTTGTCTCTGCTTGGGAATAGCCCCCCCGATACAGCAATCGATATAGCTGCTGGCTGGTTAGCTTCAGTGCTAACCCCTAAAAGTATGTCTACACTGCAAAGAAAACCCATGGCACTGAGTCTCAGTGCCTGGGTCGATTGACTCAGACTCGCAGGTTCAGGCAGTGGGGCTAAAAATAGCAGCATAGATGTTCAGGCTTGGACTGAAGCGTGGGGTCTGAGACCCTCTGAGGGTTTGAGAACCCAGGTTCCAGTGCAAACCCAAATGTCTACACTGTTATCTTTAGCTTTGCAGCCCAAGTCAATTGATCTGGGCTCTGAGACTCAGTAGACAGGGGCAAGCTGGGGCTTGCAGTGATTGAGTTAATCAAGGTTCAACCCTAAATCCCAACTAGCTCTGGTAGTGAAAACCCCTGCTTGCTTTTGTCTACACATAGGGGTCAGCATCAGGAAAATGGTCAGCTGCTCCACTTGCTGGCCACTAACAACTGAATCAGGCCTACTCCCAAATGTAGACAAGGATAAGGAGGGAAGGGGAGAGAGAGAGAGAGCTGCTCCTGCAACTGGACTGAAGTTCACTGAAAAGGAAGGAAGGGGAAAACTCTGGAGGAAAAAAGGTCGCTATCTTAAAACAAAAAAACTTCAAATCCAGACTCCAGCGAGAAACTGGTGAATTGGAATTCATTTGCAAATTGGATACTATTAATTTAGGCTTAAATAGAGACTGGGAGTGGCTAAGTCATTATGCAAGGTAGCCTGTTTCCTCTTGTTTTTTCCTACCCCCCCCCCCCCAGATGTTCTGGTTTAACTTGGATTTAAACTTGGAGAGTGGTCAGTTTAGATGAGCTATTACCAGCAGGAGAGTGAGTTTGTGTGTGTATGGGGGTGGGAGGGATGTGAGAAAACCTGGATTTATGCAGGAAATAGCCCGACTTGATTATGTAAAGAGTTGTCACTTTGGATGGGCTAGCACCAGCAGGAGAGTGAATTTGTGTGGGGGGGTGGAGGGTGAGAAAACCTGGATTTGTGCTGGAAATGGCCCACCTGATGATCACTTTAGATAAGCTATTACCAGCAGGACAGTGGGGTGGGAGGAGGTATTGTTTCATATTCTCTGTGTTTATATAAAGTCTGCTGCAGTTTCCACGGTATGCATCTGATGAAGTGAGCTGTAGCTCACGAAAGCTCATGCTCAAATAAATTGGTTAGTCTCTAAGGTGCTACAAGTACTCCTTTTCTTTATGCAGTCAAGAAATGAGAACTGAAGAATGAGCAGTTGCTATGGGGTCCATTCCAGAACCCTAGAGGCAACGGACAAAGAAACAGGGAAAATTTTAGTGGATGCTTTTAAAATAGCATTTCTGGAAGCCGACTGGACAACGAGATAAAGGGAGAACAGGAAGATGACACATTGATCCAGGTGTCTGCTGGTAGGGAAGATGCAGGAGGGACTGATAGTAATAACTTCCCATTTCTATAGCACCTTTCACATCCTGAAAGTGTGAAGTGCTTTATTACACACCAGGACCCTCGGATACATGGCTGGAACTCCCACTGCTTTCAAGAGGAAAACATTCCACCCACCACTGAAATGCAGCCATCTCTGGAGTGGGATGCAGCTGGGTGACTGACCAGGGGAACACCTGGCTACTTTGTATTTGTGAAGTGTCAGCAGGGATTCCCGCACAGGGTGATCACACCACCAAGCCAGGTAATCAATGTTTCTAACATTAGCACTTGGACAGAGTTATGGACAAGCCAGGCCACTCCCCAATCCTGGGGATCCTGGAGGTGCCTTTACGATCTGCCAGCTAAACATCAGGAGGCAGGTTGAAATGTGTACAACAAGGCTACCCCGGGGCAGAGCGCGGGCTCCCCTCCCACTCCTCTGATGGCTAAGCAATGCTGCAGGGGCAAAGGAGCAGCAGGACCATACAGCTCAGCACGCGGTGGGGGAAGCAGCATCTCACCCCTAAGATCTGTTTGATTCTCGTCAGCCCTTCGTTTCCTCCCGTGACATTTGTTCACTCGCTTGTTGACAATTCAGACATTAATCTCCCTCAGTCTGGTGTCCTGGACAAGTTCATTTTTATCACAGTTCCGTTAGTGCCAGGTTGAGCCGGCTGGAGCCTCGCAGGTCCCCTGCACAGGCTCTTGGCAGTGACATTGCAGGTCCCCTGCACAGGCTCTTGGCAGTGGCCTCACAGCCTCTGCTGGCACCAGCAGCCTCCGTTATCCCCCCCGCCCTCCCTCAGGCAGGCCTGAGCTCCTTACCACATCAGGATACAGAACAGTGCATGAATTCCGGCCTCACTTATTTCAGAGCTCTGGTCAACCGCAAGCACCGTGTGTTTCACAAACGCATCACTACAGTGTGGGGAGGGCTGGGGTCTGGGCACTGGCACTTAACGGATGCTAAGAGGCAGTAACTACCAGAGTGGATTCAAACAAACATGTCCCCCGCCTTGTCAAACTGGGCCAGCACAGGGACTATGCTGACACAATCCTAGCCAGGCCTTTCCAGGCCAGCAGCACCTGGGGCCGAACTGCCAGAAAGTGTGTGCTGTACTGAATTTCCCCAGTTCTCAGGGTGGGTTGCAGCACTTTGGATCTCAGTTTGATGATGGGCTATATGTAACCTGGTAAAAGTCAGTCCAAATCTGTGCTCATCTAACTACAGGTGTTATTTTGCACCAGTTTAATGAGACTGGTGCAGCTTTGTTTGTGGACATTCTTCTAGTGGTTTAAACCTGGCTTATAGCAGTTTGGTGGTTCAGTAAATGTGCTGGTGCAAACTAAACCAATATAATTAGTTTTAAACGGATATGAGAGAGTCCATGAACAAAAGCTGCACAAGTTTCACTACACTGATTGAAGTTAAACCAGTCCAACTTGTGCATGTAGATAAGCCCTCGGCTGCAGCCTGCCAGTTAGGGGGCACGTGCTATTAGCTGTGTACTGCTTTCTAACAGGTGGCTTTGTAAACAGGGAAGTGAATTTATCCAGCTTGTGAAATGGTTCCCCCTCTGGTGCCCTGACTGACTGCGTGTTCATATCCTCGCCATACCTGGTACAGTAGCCATAGAATTGTTGGCTCTTTCACTGTGTTTGGTATAGTTTCTCCACACTGGGTACTGTAGCCCTGTTACAACTGGCTGTATCACCATGCTGGAACAACCTACCCTTTGTATTTAGGGGCACTGCTTCATCTACAGGCCAGATAAATGGCATTTGGGTGGCATTTTGTGTGGGATGAGAGTGCCATCCAGTGGCTGGTTACCAATATGTATCCCACTGAATCCTTTTGGAGATCTGGTGATCACTTGCAATCCAGAATATGATAAGCCAGATGATTCCTGCACAGTGACTGCAATGCTGTAGGGCCAGCAGCAGATTCATAAGATGCGACGTGCGAGAGGGAATGTCTGCAGAGAAAACACCACAGCACAGTAAGGTAGAACACACTGCCACATGGCCCGGGCATGGTCCCAGAGGGGGTCTGCTGCCCTATGCATCCTTGCCATGAGAGAGCGCTGAAATAACGCATGCAGTACCACTGTCCCATGGATGGCCAAAGCTGCTGGAAATTGTCTCTGAGCACCAGGCACAGCCAGGGCAACACTGAAGAGCTGAGTGTTTCAAGAGCATAGCAGCACTGGCTCCTTGGTCTGTCCTAGTACAGCAGAGGGAGGGAGCGGGGGGGGGGGAACCAAGCTGCTGAATTTGAATCATGGAAGGACACTACTGTGAAATCATGGCAGAGGGTCTTGGGTGCCTCTCATCTAGCTGCTCACACCCTACGGTTGTTCCTGCATATCCCCCGTGCGCCCACCAGGCAGGGATTTCCATTCTGTTACAGCACAGTTACGCTCTGTAAGGCACTTCTGTGAAAAGGGGAGTGTGAACTCCCTGCCACTCTCTTCCACTGGGCCAGCCCCCTCATCCCAGCAGAGGCAATGAGGTAGTGGTGGCGGGGTGGATAAATAAGTGCAGTATCTGCTCATATGATCTTACCAGACCTAATGGGCTCAGTTTACTGGCCAAAAGACAGTTTTTCTGTTGATGCTGCAAACAACCCTCCAACCTCCCTCAGGATTCACAACTCCTGCTGAGTCCTTTCTGCCTCCGCCACCAGGGCTGCTAAGAAAGATTCTGCAGCTGGAACCAAGCAGGCCATTTGCTCAGGGAAGCTGAATGGGCCCCAGCTCACTTTCCTGCAGCTGCAGCTGGTCCAGCAGGGCTAACGGGCATAGGAGCTTGTTTGCAGCAAGCAGTAAAGTCAGCCGATTATTACATGTCTTATGGCAGTGCCCAGAGACCCCAGTGAGGATAAGGCTCCATTGCCCGGGGCACGGCTCACACACATAGTAAGAGGTTCTCCTGGTTATGGTCCAAATAGACAAGGGGTGGGAGGAAGGGAATATTATATCTACTTTAACCATGGGGATCAGAGGCACCTATGGAATATGAGACTGGCCCAAGGACACGCAGGAAACCTATGGCAGAGCCAGGAATTGAACCCAGCTCTCCGCCTTAACCACAAGCCCATCCTTCCTCCCTTCCTCAGTGCAACGCACAAGGCCAACACCACGTGTTGAGTAAGAAAAGGACATGTTTACATATTTGCTCTTCCTTTAGCAGCAGACACGGCTACTGGCTGCACCCAGGCCCTGACACGGAGTTGCCCGGACAGACCAGCTTATAAAACGATGCACAGACTTGGACTTCCCTTGTGGCCGTGGCAGCGATTGATGGGCTGCAGGCTGCGTTGCCAAGCAATAATACCTGCTGAGAGGGATCCAGAGGTCCCAGCGTGCGCAGCAGTATCAGGAGGTGGAGGAGACAGCAGAGGTCGCTGAGAGATGGTTCTGCTCCTGGGACACGTTCTGTCTGTCGTCTGGGCAGCTTCTTCTCTTTGAGGTACTGTTATCTCTCTGTGATTGGGGGAGTGAGGTCTTCATCAGCCTAATCCTGCCAAGTATCGTCCTTCCCTGGAACCTGGAAAAACAACAATAAAAGCCCTTAATCACCTAATCCCCCTGGTTTGGGAGGAGTGGCCCCTGCTTTGATATCATCCCTGTCTCAGCTCATCCATGGGGGAAGGGAGGGAGCCGTCATCCTCACTGTCAGGTCCTGACAACCTCAGCGAGCATCTGGAGTGGTCTGTCACCACCCTCCCTGTGCATACAAAGGACTCCTCCAGGTCCACGGTGATGCATAGCCTTCTGGACCCCGCCGCCGCACACCAGCGGACTCCCTTTCCACCCTGCTCCCTAGACGAGTCCACCAGTGCCTGGGCTAGTGTCTGGCCTCCACCTCTGCAGCAGCAACAAACTGAGTGTGAGAGGAAAGGCCCACACGAAGGCCGGAGCCCAGCAGAAAGAGATACCCGAATGTCAGAGTCCAGATCCTGCTGTGCCACCCAGTTACTGGGAACTCCTTAGATCCAGACTCTGATGGGTTTATAGCTGAGCTCCACTGATTACGTCTGGATGGCACAGGAATCTGTGGGCACTGAATAAACCTCCAAAGTCCCAGCTCAGCCCACCGGGGCTGGGTGTAAAACCTGGGCTGATTTTCTGGGTTGTAGTTCCAGCATTCAGGTCAGGAACATGGAGGGGACATCCCCAGGACATTACAGAGCTTTACTTCCAGGGCTAGATTAACCTTTTGTGGGCCCCCACGGGGACAATGGAGCAGGAAGGTCAGTCCCCAGAGCGAGGGGCCGGCCAGGGGCATAGTATGGCAGGGGTGGCCCCACTCCGCCCAGCCCAGTGCGAGAGCACTGTTTACAAACCGGCAGTTGTCAGACGCACTGTGGCATGCCCAGCCCTGTGCTGCCAGCATGCCCCTTCCTGTCGGGGGCTGGCCCATGCCACGCCACACATCCCTCCCCGCCCAACACCCCCCCCCCGACTCCTATGGCCAGAGCCCCCCCAGACCTCTCACAAATGCATAGCGCCCTGCATACCACCACCCCTGCCCACAGCCCCACCACAACTGCCCAGCACCCTCCACAAAACCCCCACTCCCTATTGCCCCAACACACACATCTTCCCCATCCCCTCACAGCCCAGCACACACCAGGCCTCCCAGAGACCCACTCCCTGCCTCCTGGCCGCACTCATCAGCACTGCTGGGAGATGACTGTGTCTGCCGGGCTGAGCTGGCAGAGTAGCCAGGGCTGGTCCCGGAGCCGGGAATCGCTCTGGCCCCTCGGGAGTGGCACGATCACCAAGCGGGCTCCCTCAGGACCCACTTTACTGGAGTGGCCCAGCCAAGCCCCCCACACTGTCTCCCCACCCTCAACTGGCTGTGACTGGCCAGGCTTCTGTACCAGTCCCAAGCGGCTCGGCTCCGGGGAGACAGACAAAGCCCCACAGGTGTTGGGAAGCAGAGACTGTCCGGAGCCAGAGGTGCACTGGGGTCTAGCCGGGGGGAGAGAGGAGCAGGGGGGTGGGGCAAGGGGGAGGGGAGGAGAGGAGCCCTTGGCTGGCTGGCGGGCAGGCCGAGAGGAGCAAGTGGTAGCCAGGGGGAGCCAGCGGGGTCTCAGGGCACACTGCAAGCAGAGCAGGCCTGGGCCCCTTCTGAGCATGGGCCCAGCTCCATGGAGTCACTGGCACTATTGTAACCCCGGCACTGTGTACTTCCCTGCAGTTTGGAGATGGAGCATGTCACTCCCTAGGCAGCGCTGCCAGGTTCCGGGTGCACTTCTGCGGTGGGGGATTCACTGAGTCCCAAATGCAATCCCCTACATGGGAAGAGATTTCCTACCAGCCACCTGCTGTGATAAGTGCATGCCTGAGGTCTGATTGCCATTATTTTAGCACTAAGCACTATAGAAAATCACCCGGCCACAGAATTTGGCATGTCTTCTCTCTCTCAGAGGAATTTACCCTGCATTGCAGTCCCTTTGTACAGGCTGCGCCAACATAGAGGGTCCAGAAGCAACCCCAAGCCAGGCAATACCCTGTATCCAGCATTTGCCTTCCCTGTACAGAAGCCAGGGATGGGAAGAGCATGACCCTGCACCCTGGCTATTCCGTGGCTGCAAGAGGAACCAAGAGCCCAACTGACCCAGCAATCCCGGAATCAGGGAGGCACAAGCATCTCTCTTCCATCCCTGTGCCGGCCCTACTGCCCACACAGGGGTGAATGAACCCCTGTCTCTCCCAACCGTCTCTGGTTTGCTCTCACTGTCTGCATCTCTTTCCAGTGCAATCAGACGCCCGCCTGCATATAGTCTCTAATCTGGGTCTCCCTTTCCGCTCTCGAATAGGAGATTTATATCTTGAGTGGAAAGACCTCAGTGCTTCCTCTATTGTCTCACGAGTGAAGGCAGCACCCAGCCCAGCAGCCTAATGTACAGCCCCGCCTGCAGGCAGAAATCACGCCAGCTGGACTCGAGCCCAGCCATGAGGCAGCAGAGCAGCGGCGGCTGGAGCACCATGCGAACCTGGTGCCTTGCTTGAACCCCTCTTTCAGAGTTGTCAGAGAGCCTCCCTCCTCCAGCACCTCTTCAGAGTTGGGAGGCCAGGGGACGACGCTCCCAACACGAAAGCAGCACTTGTGCCATCTGGGACCCTTGTGGGGCTGCACCATGCACACCCACAGCAGGTACAGCATGCACGGGGCGGGGCAGACTTACTCCATGGCAGCATGCCTCAGCCCTTCCCTGGGGTGAGAGGGGAGTTCAGTCTCCATGGCTCATGCAGCCCTTGGCGCCTCTGCTCAGGCTCCCACTGAGGGAGCATTAATGCTGGCTGGGGTGATACCTGATTCGCCACAAAGAGCTGGTGAATGGTTGAGGCCTGTCAGCTTGTGTCATCAGTGCTGGGCTTGATCTGAAAGTCTTGGCAGCCACAGGGATAGGCACTCTCACAAGGGGAGGACAGCTAGGGCACCTGCACAAGTAGCCTTGGGACTGGGGACCTGCAGGGCATCCTCAGTGGGTAGAGGCCCTTGGCTCTGGATTCACTTCCCCCACTGGTCTGACACAACCCAAGTTCCATGAATTTCAGACCATGGTGTAAGGCTCACATACTTCTGTTTGAGGGTGGGCAAACTGCTGCTGTGACCATCTACTCCCCTTATACTTATCCAGTCCCCACAACCATATTCTGTGACTGCCTCACACCTTGAATGTATTTATCCTCACATCACCCATCATTCCAATGTATAGGTGGAGACCTGAACCACAGAGCGACTAAATGACGCCCAAGATCACCCAGGAAATCCACAGTGGACCTGGGAATCCATCCCAAGTCTCCCAAGTCCTGGGGGCATGCCTTAGCTACTGGACCAGACTTCCTCTCCCACAGGGGGAGGTGGAGAGATCTTTTGCTGACCTGTGCCAGGCTGTTATTTAGCGATGGGATGTTTCTTTGAATTGTTGCTGTTATGCCCAGAGATGATGATGCCACCAAATGGCCATCAGTTGGGAATGACTTTTGGTCACTATCAGCTGGGCCTGCTTTTGCCTGCAGCATCAGATCCCTGGGTTGGAGGTGACAAGTACCTTATTCCATTAGCAATCCAATGGGCAAAACAGCCAATCCACCACATAAGAAGCAGACACAGCTCATTGTTAAAGAGGTGCTAGTGGCTCCCAAGAGCAACACAGACCCATAGGAATCTGAAGCTTGGCAGCTTGGATCCAAATGTTTAGACTCTTCTCCCGATCTATTTGGGCTGAAAATCTGCCAAGATTGGGCTTTGTAGTGAGATTTTCAGCTCTTCCCAGTGCTGTCCGGGCCCATATAACTAGAGTGTCTCTTCTTCAGCACCAAGACTGGAAATACTTTCCACATTGCTGGCAGCCACTTGACTCCATGTGAAACATTGCGTGAAGGGATGTCCTTGCATGTAAGTGGAAGGGAGACATTGTCCTGGCGTGACATCTGCTTGTGTACCTCAGTGCCATCGCAGCAGGAGGATGCTGCCCCCCAAGAGGGCACCATACAGGACGACACCTGTTCCCCATTAATTTTTCTTCCCTTCTCTTTTCTACTGCTTCATCCAAGCCAAAGCCTCGGTGGATCCAAGAGCAGGCCGCCCTGGAGCAGAGAGGGGAGCGGAACTCAGGGTCCAGAAGAGAGAAGCAGGTGGATCAGAGAGATCGGAGTTTGACTCCACCTGGCACCTCCAGTGCAGAGAGCATCACACAGCAGCAAATGCCCCCAGGTCTGAACATGCAGGTGTGACAGATGCAGAGAGGGAGTGAGGACTGGGGGCTTCAATAATGCTACCCTGAGCTAGGGGAAGGAGTTATTGACCCTTCAGCTCCAGGTAGACTACTGCTCTCCCCCTTCCCCCACCCCAAAAGAAAAAGCCTGCTGGATAGTCTGTAGGCTGTAACACAAACAGGAAACTCGACCAGGACCCAGCCCTTCCCAGCGGGGAGAGGAAAGAGACAAGCTTTGTTTCAAAAAGGTCCTCAGTGAGGACATGCTGGCAGCCTGCACAGGGACATAGGGGGTCCGGTTATGGGCACGGAGCATCACTGAGCTCCCAGGCCTTGATCTACCCTATTGCAAACACCTGGATGGCTGCACAAAGGTGATAAAATCCCTTTGTTTTCCTGGCCCCTCTGCGAAGTCCCATATTATACCCCATCCCACCTCGCAGGGTCCTGGAGCCCAGGCTTGAGCCTGAACCCGAGCATCTGCACCACAATTAAACAGCCCCTTAGCCTGAGCCCCTCAAGCCAGAGTTAGCTGGCATGGGCCAGCGGCGGGTTTTTAATGCTGTATAGACATACCCTCTGTGTAGGTTTCAGAGTAACAGCCGTGTTAGTCTGTATTCGCAAAAAGAAAAGGAGTACTTGTGGCACCTTAGAGACTAATTTATTTGAGCATGAGCTTTCGTGAGCTACATCCGATGAAGTGAGCTGTAGCTCACGAAAGCTCATGCTCAAATAAATTGGTTAGTCTCTAAGGTGCCACAAGTACTCCTTTCCTCTGTGTAGGGTGACCCGGTGTCCAGTTTTCGACAGGAACACCCGGTTGACAAGGGACCCTGGTGGCTCCAGTCAG